GACCCTCTCATTGCCGGTGTTGACTGTTCCAACCATAGCATTCAAATCACCCATAACAATCAGGAGGTCTCGTGATGGAGTATTTTCCACTTCAGCTTGAAGACTTTCATAAAAGATGTCTTTTAACTCAGGATCAGCATCGTTTGTTGGAGCGTAACACTAGATTACAGTCATCTTCACTTGCTCCCAAAAGAACCTTGCTCTAATTAGCCTCTTGTTGATAGGCTTCCACTCAAGAAGTGACTTCTCCACACCCCTCTTCAGGATGAGAGCTACTCCTTGCTGGTGCAGGTTGCCATTCTGGCCTGAAAACAAAATTGTTTTGCCGCCTTGCGTTCTCTGTGAACCAAATCCTGTCCATCTACACTCACTAATACCAAGGATGTGAAGCCTATTTTCATTACCTCTCCTGTGATCTGCGCGAGCCTTCCTGTGCTAAACATTGTTCTTACATTCCACAATCCTAATCTTGTCTTTGTCTTGGTGCTCAAGGCTCCCAGTCTCGCAGCGACAGCTTCCTGTTGGCTTTCACTGCTGCTGGTCATTCTAGCCCGTGAAGGCTCTGAGTTCCCTTGGTGACCAAAAGGTTGAAGATTTCTTGTTGGTGTTTCTGTGACAAAATCTTTTTTACAGGGTGAGGTTGTCAACCTTATGCCTAACCCCCAACCTGGAGGGTCAGGAGGCTGGTTTTAGTCAGGACCCTCCCCTAATGGCCTGTCCAGCAAGGTTGAACCTGCCAGGAGTATAACTACCACCGGCATAGCCCAAAAGAATCATTAAGCCTTGCAAGCCATCCCACCACATCAAGATAGCAGCCTCAAAAGGGATGGCAACTACCTTATACAGACACAATATTTCATTTTAGCTTTTACAAAAAGGTGTCAGTCATGATCAGTACAGTACAGTACAGTAGTGTCGGCCTACCTGATTTTATGATGAAAAAATTAATGAGAGATAATTCTTGTATATAATTCTTGTTTGGTTTGATGTTTTTTGTAAGGGTTGATCCAGAGACAACCTCTTGCCAAGAAGAACACAAGTTTATTGTATTTTACAGTATGTTGTTGGCCACCTTTTTGCTATTTTGCTTTAAATGCAAAAGCAACAAGCCAAGTGTTATGATCGATTCGCTCGATTCATCAAATGGAGAATTTTACTGACAATCTGACAAGTGGAGCTGTCAATCGGAAAATTGCATCTCATTGGTGGGACTTACAATTTGTCACGATACTCTTGTGGCAGGGCTTTTTGATTGATTTGTTTGAATCGTCAAATGGAGTAATTTTATGACGAACCGGCAAGCGGATTTGTCTCTATCGAAAATAGTGCTTTTCATTTAGCGATTCTTAAGAAATACTTTAACACAACCACTTGTTTAAGGGCTTCTATGAAATGTTATTGTTTTGAGGCCTTCTCTCGCTGAGCTGTGTATGCCGCTTGGTTGTACATCAAAAATATTGCTTTTCATTTAGCGGTTCTTAAGAAATACTTTAAGATAACCCCTTGTTTAAGGGCTCCTATGAAATGTTATTGTTTTGAGGCCTTCTCTCACTGAGCTGTGTACGCCAGTTGGTTGTACCAATTATATTTTTGATTAGCTTTGACGTTAAGTCATCTTTTTACAGAAGTATTTTAATTATCGTCGTTCGTTTTAATATGTTTTACTATTTTATTAATTGCGCCTGAGCCACTTGATTTTTGCTGGTAGAGATGGTTATTTTTTTTTTTAATAGAATTGTTTTACAGTGATGCATTCAGGTTGTTGCGCATACTGAGAAAACACTTTTTGTTTTGCAAATGTAATGAACATGGCGATGATCGGAAGTACGTCTGTTGTGTTTTTGCAGTTTCAAAGGTACCGATATGTGAATGCGCTTCCTGCATACAGAATCCTAAGTGGAATGTAAATATCATGGAATTTAAAAGTTAACGCTTTGTGCGGCAAATTGTTTCTTAAATATATTTTCATTATTCATGGTAAAATTTATGTTTAAAGCAGTGACAGAAAATTTTCTTTAAAAAAATGAAATGAATTCTGTGTCCTGGGCTCGAATTCACTGCCTGTCGTCTACATTCCGCTCTGAAGACCAGTTCCATATCCTTTGTGCTTATGTGTCTGGCACACAAAGGTCATTTAATGTATGGGGGGATTTAACGTATCCGTATAAAATTTTACTTGTTGCAGTAATTTATCGAGTAGATACATTTGGTTTGTTTAACTTTTGTATTGGTTTACTTTATTTGAAATTGGTTGGATAGAAATCGAGGCCAAACTGTGTTAAAAATGAATTAATCAAAATTACATTCAATATAACTGAATTATTAGGCATAGGAGGTGTAATCAGTTATTTGCTAAAAAGTACACAAAATAAGCTCACTTTTGTGGTTAACTACCACAAGTTTATTATTCCGTTTAAAATGGAAGAAAACTTGTTATTTTGAACAAATACTGTGATGATTCAAATTATCAAAATTGGTTCTCACGACAGGGGCTGATCCATTGTTTTACTTAATGCAACATCAGCCCTAGATGAATGGTTGACCATGCATACATTATTACTA